ACATTAAGAACAGTCCCACTTCGTCACATCTTGTCTCCCACACACTCTGTGACATGTGGGTAGGTGGGGGGTGGGTGTGTACAGGTGTCTGGGGGGGGTTACTGGGTTGGGGGGGCAGGTGGTGGGTGGGTGTGTACAGATGTCTGGGGGGGGTTACTGGGTTGGGGGGGCAGGTGACTCCTCTGCTCTGTGCGGCCAGGACTGGTGTAGGCCTGTATCTCTGCTGCCCGGCTGGTGGGGCTGGAGCCTGGGGTGGGAGGCAGTGCCCTCCCTCAGGGGCTGGTCCTAGTATGGTGCCCCGAGAGGGCTGGGGCCCTGGCAGCTGACCTTCCCTCCCCACCCCCTGCGTTGCGTTGGGTCTGGCCCAGCATTGCCGCGGGAGGGGGTCTGGTGCTGTGAGTGGGGTCTCCACAAAGGGGCGTCCGGGCTGCTCTGCGCAGAGACTGCCACTTCCCGTGTCCCCAGACATAGACTGGGGGGGCAGGGGAGATGGGGGTACAGAGCCTTTGCCTTGTGGGACAGGAGGCCCTGGGTGCTGGCTCGAGGGCTGGGCCACGTAACCACCCCGATGACCCACTGGCTGCTCGCGAGGTGTCTCCCCAGGGCGCTGAGCCGGGCTTGGGGCACTTTGCCCCGTTTGCTCCAGGGCGGCCGGGTGTGTGCTCAGCTGCAGGCGTGGGCAGCGCTCGGTGTAACCCTGCAGGCAGGGAGTGGAGCCTAGCAGCTAGAGCAGGGGCTGGGCACCCGGACTCCTGGGTTCTGTTCCTGGCTCTGGCCTGCGATGTGCTGCTGGGCAGGTCCTGTCCCTGCCCAGTGCCTCAGTTTCCCCTCAGTGCAGTGTTGACTCCTCCAGGGGGCTGTGTGGCTATTGGGGTGCTGTGAGCACCGGCTGGGGGGCTTGGTCAGTCTGGGCCCCCCAGCCCGGGTGCTGTTTCCTGGCTTGTCAGCCCTAGAGAGCAGCTCCTCTCCCACACCAAACATGGGCTGGCATGGAAGTGGTTAAAGCCGGCCAACGCCCTCCTTGCCTGGCCTCCCCGGCAGGGTGCCAGGAATGACAGGGATGTGCCTGCTGGGGGCGGGGCCGGGCAGGGACCAGAGTCGGGCAGGCTGCCCTGGGCGTGGAAATGCAGCCTGGCGTCTCCCATCCAGCCCCCCTGGCCCCGTGCCCTTGTGCCCAGGCTCTGCCCCTCGCCGCGTGGGGCACTGGCCCCCAGCTGGACCCGTCTGGTCAGTTCGCCTTTGACGAGTCGTGTGCAGTGGAAAGCAAAGCGCCGGGTGCCCGCCCTCTCCCCCAGCCCCACGCTCCCCTCACCCCGCCCCACTTGTGGGAAACTGGAGGGGAAACTATGATGAAACTCCTGGCCAGAGCAGAGCCGGCAAATCTGGCGGCTTTCTCTCCTTCCCCCTCCCCGTGGTCAGGAGGGTGTGTGATGCCCGGGAGGGGCTGCTGAGTCTGCGCCCCCCCCCCGCAGCGCCCATATCCGCGTGTGTGTCACAGCCAGGGAGTGAGCGGGCCCCCCCCCCCCCATGCCTGAGGAGGGGTGGAGCTGCTGCCGCTGGCCCGGCTGCTCCGGCTGCTCCGTCTGAGCCAGGCCTGGAGGGAGGCACGCTGCTCCGGCTGCTCTGCGGAGAGGGTTGTTCCTGGCCGCGTGCTGCCTGTGCCCTGCGCCGTGCCCGCCATGGTGGCAGGGATGCTGATGCCGCTGGAGCGGCTGCAGGCCATCTACGAGCTGCTCTTCCGCGAGGGCGTCATGGTGGCCAAGAAGGACAAGCGGCCGCAGAGCTTCCACCCGCAGCTGCCTGGCATCACCAACCTGCAGGTGCTGCGGGCCATGGGCTCGCTCCGGTCGCGGGGCCTGGTGCGCGAGACCTTCGCCTGGCGCCACTGCTACTGGTACCTGACCAACGAGGGCATCGGCCACCTGCGCCAGTACCTGCACCTGCCACCCGAGATCGTGCCCGCCTCCCTGCAGCGCGTCCGCCGCCCCGTGGCCGTGCCCATGCGGCGCCCCGCTGCCGGCCCCCGGGTGCAGACCGTGCCGGGCCTGGTCAGCTGCCCCCCCAAACGCCAGGCGGGCGGCGAGGAGGGTGGGGGCTCGCGCCAGGCGTACCGCAGGAGAGAGGAGACCCGGGAGCAGCACGTGGAGGCCGCCTCAGCAGGGGGAGTGTCCAGGCCGGCCCCGGAACCCAGCCCTGCCCCAGGTTAGCAACCCACCCCTCGCTGGTGGGGAGGGAGCAGCATGCTCGGGGGGGGGGGGGCATGGGGCTGGGTCCTGCCCCCCACAGGGAGCAGCGCCGGGCGGCGGGGGCGGCTGCATTCATTCATTCGGGTGTGGGGAGTCTGCAGCCGGAGAGCTGGCGCCGGCTGTGTTCTGAGCGAGTGGTGCGGGGGGGGCGGCATGGTCGTGGCTTTCTTGGAGGGGGGGTTCCCCTCTGCTGGCCCCTGGCGGGTGCTGGCATAGGGATGTCTGAATGCCGTGGGGGGCAGGGCTGCCCTTAACCCTTTCCCACCCGGTCTGTGCGAGGCGGGAGCTCTGGCTTGCCCTGCCACACGGGGGGTAGGGGGGATAGGGACAGACAGACAGCAGGCCGGCTTCCCGCGCCCCCAGCCCCCACAGGCGGGCCCTGGCATACCAACAGGTGCAGGGCCCTGTGCTATCCTTGGCTGTCCGTTTCCTCGTCCTCCTCCAGCTGCTCCGTTCCGCTGCCAAGGTCAGAGGCTGCAGAGACCAAGGCAGCCCCAGGGAGGGGGACCCCTGCCTGTGGGACCTGCTGCAGGCAGCGTCTGGGGAGAGCCCTGGGGGTGCTGCCAGGGGTCAGGGGCTTTGTCCGGCTTGCCACAGGCCCTGCAGGGCTGGGGGGTGGCCGCACTTAGGCACTGGGGGGTGGGTGAGTCCAGCAGCTGCTGGCGCTCAGACCATAGGGCTTTTGGCACGTACGTGGGGGGTGGGCAGCGCGGGATCACGCGGCGGGGCTGAGGGTTGTGTCTATCCCAGCAGTGGGTGCCCGCCCAGGGGCTGCTCCCCGAGAATGCGCCCTCGGCCCACGAGTGGCACAGAACTGCAGGTGGGGATCCCAGGCCGGGAGCGCGTGCTGAGTGGCTGGGGGATGGGCTGGGGCCGGTGGCTTGGTAGGTGTGTAGCCCGTCTGGGCTAGTGGGCTAATGCCACAGCTGGTCTGCAGGAGGGGGTGCAGGCGTCTTACCAGCCAGCGAGGGGCAAGGCCAGTGCTGGGCGGTGCCGGGTAGTCCTGCCTGTCCTCACGCTAGGGCTCCGACCCCCCCCCCCCTCCAGCCAGCACGTGCCCCTGGCCTCGCCCGGTGGGCGCATGGGGCAGGCTGCCCTCCCTGTTCAGGGCCCATCCCGTGGGCTAGCTGCACCCCCCTGCTCCTGTCCAGCCAGGTCCCAGCTCGGTGGCAGGAGGAGACAGGGCAGAGGTCATGGGGGACGAGGGCCTTCAGGGGACGGAGGAGGGGCAGGAGAGGGGTGCTCCCTTCTCAGGGTGGGCATCTGCCAGCCTGGGGCTGCAGCGAGGGGGGTGAGGGGCATGTTTGCACCACCTGGGGCTCATCCCCGCCTGCGGTGCGTGCTGGAGACCAGACCCACGTCCGAGTGCGGGGCCCAGGGCAGCCCCCCAGCTCCCTGGACGGGCCCCGATGGCCAGACAGCCTGTGCTGCGGGAGGGGCTGGGCCCATGTGGCACCCTCTGCCCCACGGCTGTGCATGCTGCCTGGGCAGCCGCTCGCTGGTGTCCTGCTGCCCCATCCCCCTCCTGCCCCGCCCGAGGTAGGGGCTTGCCCTGGCCGGGGGTCCCTGCACCATGCGGCGGGGAGGGAGGAGGAGCAGCTCTGCCCGAGGCCCGGCCCTGCTGCTGCGTCTGGCCCAGCGCCGGCTCCAACTTTCCACCAGGAAACGCGCCGAGCTGGGCAGTTCCTGGGGCGTGAGTCAGATGGAGCGCCTGGGTCTGGGCCTGGCCCTGCGCCCGGGGGGGGGAGAGAGTTGGCTGGGCCTGCTCCCCCTCACCCCGCCCCGGCTCTGGAAGGTAGCTTGCCCCGGCCCGCCCCGCCCCGCAGCTGCTCTGCTGGGACAATGGGGGCATTGTCCAACAGCTGCCGGCGCCTTCCCCACCGCGCTGAGCCGCTCCCTCTGTCCTGCCCCACGGCTGTGCCCTGGGCTACCACGGCTGTGCCCACGCCCCTCTGTCCTGCCCCACGGCTCGGGGCTGGGCTCCCCCTGTCCCATGGCTGTGCCCAGTCCCTCTGTCCTGCCCCACGGCTGTGCCCACGCCCCTCTGTCCTGCCCCACGGCTCGGCCCTGGGCTCCCCCTGCCCCACAGCTGTGCCCACACCCCTCTGTCCTGCCCCACGGCTCTGCCAACAGCCCTGGGCTCCCCCTGCCCCACGGCTGTGCCCACGCCCCTCTGTCCTGCCCCACGGCTCTGCCCTGGGCTCCCCCTACCCCACAGCTGTGCCCACGC